GACTCCAGCAATGCAAGCCAGAGCAGATAACTGAGATGACAGCCCTTGAGAATGTCTCTCCCTCCCCACCCCTCCAGACGACAAACTGACTCTGCTCCTGGTTTTACTCTGTTTCTTCTCGCCTTTTGATGTGCATACAAAACATGCAAGAAAGCCAATGCATTTGGCTTTATGGGACCGTTATCTTCAAGGCAGATCCCATGAAGGAGCACATAAGGGTATACTCCTTCTGTGGTACGGCTATCAAGAACAACCTGTCAGTATCTGGCAGAATCTCAGTCTCTTCCCTGCATGGGCATGCAAGGTGCAAAATGCACTGCAACCTGCTCATCAGTACATCTGCAACGGGACATGCTAATCAGGCTGGAAGCCACCACATCTGAGAGTGCCCTGGCAGTGACAAGGAAGAGCAGGCAAGCAAAGGGTGATGGAGCTGTCCTGGCATGGGAGCTTCCCCACTCCAACATCTGCTGGTGGCATGGAACATAAAAGAAGTCTGCTGCCAACACTTTGCTCTTTGTTGCTGCTTTGATACAGAGTTTGCATCAGTGCCACTTCAGGGAAACCTGTTTCCCTGGCCACAGGGTGAGGCTGGCCAACAGTTGCTCCTGGCTCTGCTAATGAAAACTGACTCTGCAGCCAGGTCTGTCAATCTGCCAAGTGAAGGTGTCAGGTTAGCACGACTTTGTCCTCCCAAAGTGATACTGACCACGCTGAAATGAGCAAGCCAGAGCAGGGAAAATGCATCTGCAGGTAATTAGTAACAATCACAGGCTGCTTGGAAACTGCTGACTACAGCAGTAATAAGCTGGGCACATGTCATTGGCTTGTAAATGGAGAGAGCACTTACGGACTGTGGCAGTACACAGTGAGAGAAGGATGTTTTTTTAAACTTCATATTTAACGTGGCATTTAAAAAGGATGAAGAAAAATCGAGTGATTACCTAATCAAAGGTTTGGCTGGTGGTCCATAGCACAGTAGAATTAGTGGATAAAGCAGTACTGAGAATTGTCACTAAATTTTTCCTTAGACATATCCTATCAGCAAATAGTGGCACAGATGCCAATTAGTCTTTCATCTTCGAGAAGTATCCCAAATGCCCTGATCTACCAGTTTTCTAAGAAACAGAAATTTTGCATTTTCTAGCAACAACAGCACAGGGGATCTTTTGCATCTCAATCCTCAACATTGTTTTGCCACCTACACCACAGCCAGACAATAAGAACAATGGAAGCCTGTGATAATTTACTTAAAACATCCATTCTCAGCTTTATTTGCATTAAACTCTTCTACTATCTGTCTTACAGACTTAAGACTGACACGACAAACTAGACTTAAGTAAGTCTCTTCACATACGACACCCCAGAAAGTCTCCAGACTTGCTCATAAAAACTGATTAAGCTTGAATGGCAGATACCAGCTATCTAAAGAACGTAAGTGTTCTTGGATCAAACTCCTGTATGTCATATTTCAAGTTCTTTATCCACAAAAATGTGGCTTTTCAGCCCTATGCCCACCAATAGCCCCACTCTGTGTTGAAGCATCAGCCAGTCACACATTCACAGCTCTGCTTCCACACACCAGAAGAGTTCCTGCTACAAACATCATGTCCCACCAACAGACTGTTCTGAATACTACAACTCACATTCCAGCAGCTTTTGGTCTCATGACAGTGAAGCTGTTACAAAAGAGTTTATAATCTGGACAATTCAGACATGAGGTTAACCTCTCAAGCCATTAGCACCACCAGACACAGACTTTGGGAATTTTGTGGACTTTTAACCAACCACCTGTCTTTTTTTACAGCTCAAACCACACTATCTAGGATGACTGAATCAAGTTGTGCCCCAAAGCTTTCAGTCTCCTGCTCTGAGTTTGCTTGGATACATCACAGGACAGCCTGTCTGGAGCAAGGAAGAGTGGAAACACTCAGAAAAGGATGTAGAAATTAAAAGCAAACCAACTTTCTGAATCTCAAGAAAAGACTGCAGTTCAGGTTAGCCATTCCTCCTCCAACAGGGAGCAGTTCACGGGACAAATGCCATCACGAACCTCCAAGTCTCAGGCTGTTGCCTGATGGACAAGTGTCTGAGGTCCAGGAACTGGCTCTGGCAGGACTCCTCTCATGAGCCAGTGTCTGACCACCAAAGAGGGCTCATACAAAGCCAACCATCTTCCAGGGGTTGCCTGCCTTATCTCTCGCCTACCCACACACACTCAACCCAACCCCAGCCTAGGAATACCTAACTGCTGAATTTTATCGTAACTTTAGTCAGACCACAGACAACAAAGTTCCCAGAAGGGAGAGTACATGATACGTTAACAAACATTTATTTGACTTCACACTCATAACCACTGTTAGGTATCACTGCCCAGCTCCTCCTGATTTTCAGTGATATTTGCAACAGATGAAAGGCCTATAGCAATATGCAGCTTTTCTTTATAAGGGAAAAAGGATCAATGAATGAATCCCCTGTCCCACCAAGGAAATGGGCTGGGAAAAGAGGCAAGACTGAAAAAAATTAGTTAATTCTGGGAAGAAAATTGAGAAGTCTGTCCAGACCTGTGGTGAGAAATGCATGACCAAGTGTGCTATAATTTACATGCTTTGCACATTACAAAGTATGGCTTGCTGTTTAAATCTTCCTTCTCCCGATAGCCTTCACATCCTGCTGACCCCTAAGGAAGGCCTCAGGGCAGAGAGCAGAACTTTGACGTATGGTACGTGCCCAGCACTACAGGGCCCAGATCCTGCCCAGGGCTTCTCGGCACTCCCAGAACACAAACAGCACAAATGAGTTGCTGAAGGTGTAAGGAAAGGAAAGGGGACGATAACAGTTAGACAATCTCCTCCAAGAATATACCAAAAGGTACAGGTTTTAAAAGGTTTTAAAAGCATGCAATTTTATTTAAGATAACATAGTTGTGTAAATCTAGGTTTTATGAATGCAGGTGTTAGAAAACTCTACACAATATAAAATTAAAGATATAAATAGCTACTGATTTGAAAAACGTATTCTTTCACAGCTCTCACCTTGCCACGTTTAAGACCAATGGCAGGGGTTTTTTCTAGACTTGCTACTCATAAAGCCTGCTCCACATTTTTTATGACAACCATTAAATTCAACATTTGAAACTTCTGCTCAATTGTAGGTAACGTCACAGGGAAAACCTACACAAAATCTGTATTGAGCTCTGCAGCATCACTTCTGTGCTCAGTTTTGCTCTAACGAACACCATCAGTCAGCTCACCAAACCCTAAGGAAGTAATAACATATGAAGCATGAGAAGCGCTTAAACCAGACTAAAAGAACATGCACTGCTGAAGTATCAAATCAAAACAAGAGCTCTAGGCTGAGCTTCATTTGGCCAGGTACAGATCTTGGATAGGCAGTTCCTCAGAAGAAGATCGAAGAGAGACAGTGATGCCCACAGCACCCACTTGTCCAGTTCAAGGTGCTGCTGGGCTGTCCTCATCAGCAGAGCACAGACACCTCTGACGGGGCATAAGGCATCACAGGGACACAGACTTGGACAAGCAAGAGACAATGACCCAGAAGATCAACAAAGGGCAACAGGACACCCATGATGTCCCAAGGCAGCCCATGTCTTTTGTAATAAGCAGCACTTCAGGCTTTTAAGATGCAGGAAGCTCTCCAGCAAACAATTAAGAGAATTATTTGCCTTAAGAGACATTTCTAACTTTCATACGCTGTAGAGGTGGTTCTTTACCCCAAACATGATGATTCGTGTTCCTTCTTTCATATTCCTGTTAGATTCCTTCCATTCTATGATTCCATATCTATCTATCCATGCTGTATATCCCTACCTGTTATAAGCTGCGCATGTCCAGAAATCCCTTTCTGTCCTTCCACCCATCCCTGGACACCTTTCTTATCTATGAGTCTACCGCTAGAACCACCCACCCAGTACCACTTATTTCAAGAAGTCTCTATCCTCCCACATCAAGGTAAACACAGATTTCTTAAGGTTCCTCTCTAACTGCTTTAGAATATCCCTAAACTTCTGGCAAGAGCCAAAAACCAATGCCATATTGGGATAAAACAGTTTTGTGATTACATTAGTTTTCAAAACTGCTCTCCTGCTAGATGAGATTGTAGCACTTTCAAGATACAATAATACTATACTAAAAACAGCATCACCTTCTCTTTAGCAACAAAATAAAGAAGTAAATCCAATCTTTGGCAAAACAGAGAAAATCCAGTGACAAAATCTGCACAGATTAGACACAAGGACAGAAGTAACATACAGAGGTAACATGTACATGAAACATAGAGCTTTAAACTTTAAAATTCTTTTTTTCTGCATTCCTACAATTCATTCAGGATATAATTTCATCATTTTCTTACCATTCGGGCAGTTTCCTTCCAAACAATGTGGTCAGTCCCAAATAACTAGGTTACCAAAGCACTTATCAAATTCTGTCTGTTTCTTAACTTTCACCCCGTGCCTGCTAAATAACTGCAGATGCTGCTGCATTCCCTGAACGAACAACTTTAGCTTTTCATTTAAATGCTCAGCCTTAGTGCACAACTGCAATTCCAAACATGGTATAAAACACGAGCATTTGTAGGAATCAAAAGCATTCAAAATTCAGGCTAGTTCAAACTGCCATAAAAACCCTATCCAGTCAAACATAACAGGCACCTTTATGGAAAATGAGCAACAAAGCCTAACAGCAGAGGCAAGAATTCTGCTTTTCAGTTACATGTCGGTACTCAGGTTGCAGGTTTGAGGTGGAGGGGCACATCCCTTCCTAGACAAGAGGGATGGATGCTTCATCTGTTGGCTCCCAGTGAACAGTACCGAATCATACAACCCACGCACCTGACTTTCAACAGAGCTGCTATGAAATCACACTTCAAAAGAAGTTTTTTGAGTAAATGTCTCCACATCTGACACAACTACTCCATGAAGGGCACCACCCTGCAATGTGCACACACTCCACATCACTTACTGGTGCTGGGAAATCACTTACCTGTGACAATAGGGTATGACTGAGGCCCAGGAACATTTGCTCCCAGATCTGCAGAAGTAGGGCTGGTTATACTGGCCTTCATGTCATCTAATCCACCAGCTAACGATGCCATGGCTGAATATTCAGTTGCCTGGAAAAAGAAACAAAAGGCATTTTAGTGATAATAAATGTACTATTCAAGAACTCTTGCCTGTATGACAAAAAGTAGATGCAATACAACTCAAAAATCCTTTGTTCAGTCAGTTTTAAAGGCAATACCCACTTACACGGGGCTGTTAAGATTTCAAAATGCTCAGTAAGTGGGTCTGTGCTTATCACCAGTGTTCTTGGAGAATAGCAAAACGGGCTTTCTTTATAAAACCAAAGCCAAATTAATCAATATGTAGCAAGGCTTTCCTTAAAGAAGAAATATTGGAGGGTTTAACTGCAGAGTGCAAGTTACTTGCCTGTTAGAGGAAAATGCTCATGCCAGTTAACTCATATTTCAGTGATGGCACCTGAAGAGACACGCGCTGATGAGCAGATGGGAACAGGGTATCCCATTTCCCCTCTTTTCTTGGGAATGCCATGTCTCATCATCTCACAAGAAATAAAATGCACATAAGTAAAAGTGTCTGCTTAGGGGAAGGATTTTTAGCCAACTGTTTCTAAATCCAAATTAGTCGAAAATAAATCACCTGACTGTTGTAAGGATGCTCTCTCATCTCATGGGAACTTTTTAATCTCATTAACTGAAGCTATAGGAAATGAGTGCAGGTCCTCAGAAGTCAGATTATTTCTGTACTGTAAACCAGTAGAAGTCCATGTAGCCATGGCAATCTACAGCAGGTGAGGCCAATCCACACATCCAGAAGGACTTACATGTACACAGCAGAAAGACTACATTCATTTGCCTTTTTTAATTATTTCTTATCGTTGGGATCATTCACACAGAACTGGGAAGTTTCCTTTCTAAGTTCTCCCTTCCTTGCTGCTATTACCATTTTAAGTTGTAACCCTTATTTGTGAGATCATAATCATACCCTTGACAACCAGAGGATAACTTCAACTGAAGAACAGCAACAGAAACAGATTAACTGAAGAACAACACTCCAAGACTGATCCCTGCTGTATTTCTGCAGATTATGTCAATGCAGAAGCTGTGCAGAACTGAAGCAACACAGAGGAACCCAGGACTGTGTGATTTTTTTGAGTGACCAAATAAAAAAGTTAAGGGGTTTTGTTTTCTTTTCATTTTTTTTTTCTGGTTGTTGTTGTTTTTAAGAAAACAGAACCTGATCTGAGTGAACACATCTTTCTCCCTCTTGAGAGTTTCTCAGAAATGTCCAAAAACGCAGCACACAATCTGGTATTTGCCACAAGCTCACTACTTTGGATCAGATATATTTGTTCATGTCTCTGATGCTCAGTTCTCCCTCAAAGAGAAGTTAATTTACAAGGATAACCCCACATTAGCACGTCTGTGTTAGTACACGTTTCTTCTGTGCATGCAATTTGTGCGAGGCATGAGAACGCTCTGTCAGCCTGAAGGATCCACCATGCAAATCTCTTACAGATGACCGTGTCACATACATTTTGTCATTGACTAGTGGCTGGCCACCCTGTCCCTTCACCTGGCCCATGGATTAGCACCTCGAGGTCTTCTGGGCTGAAGGCTGCCCAGAAGGCTGTCTCCTATGGTAACCCCCAACCTTCGCATTGAACTTGTCCTGCTTCTCAGCCTTCTCAGCTTATTCCTCCCCCAATACCCTCCATACCCTCACATTTCCCTTACCTTCATGCACCCAGCCCCTTTCTTCTACCAGCACTACCACGAAGATGTGTGCAACCACACCTCTGCTTCAGCCCCACTTCTGCACCCTGGGGAGGACAGCCCCTTGAGCATCCCTCCTCTGCAGAGGATGTCAGCAATGGTCCCAGCCTTCCTCCTTCCTGCAGGTGCAACCAAAGCTCCTTCTCATTCCAGGATCTACCAAAGTGTGTTTTCCAGCCTTCCCACAGCACTCCATGATGTCCTACTTCTGCAACCCCACTTTCTCCTTCCACTGGGTACATGCATCTGTGATGGCACTGCTGTGTTTTTTCAATCTCCAAAGGCCTAATCTGAAAAGATACTGAAGGAACAGCCATGCATAGACATCCCAGGCAGCTGCTAATGCATAAGTGGTGTGGGGTGGGCCAGCAGCACAGTAGAAAAAAAAGCTGTCCTTGTGCACTGCTGTTTGGTATTTCTGATGCCTGTTGCAAGAACACACCACTCCCTGGAAAGGATGTCTTATTTCACACATGCTGCTCTAAGAAAGCCATAACCACACCGTATCCAGACTAGATAATCTCTTTACATCTTCCTGCAGCATACTGACACACCACTCCCCACAGGCAGGGTATGAATGTGACTTCCAGGTTACACAAGGGCAGCTGACCACTTGCAGTTTGGGAGGAAGCATCCAGCTGTGCCACAGGCTGGGTCACACATGGGGCTGGGGCAGGGCATGCACATCCAAACGCCACAGCTAAAACTGGATTTTGGGGCTATCACTTGTCACACAAACCTAGTCAGGACCAGACCAAGCCCCCACCTGCAAACCACAGACACTGGAGTCCAGAACAGATGTTGAAACAACACAGTTTGCTTCCCTTCTGGGGTCTGATGAACTGACTTAGGAGGAAGCAGGACCAGGTCTCACCTCTTAAGGTAATGATCTGGAAGCACAATGTCAGCCAGGAGCATGGTCCTTCAAGCTCAGGGGCTGACCTGTTTCAGTCAGAAGCATGCAACTATCAGGGTGCAGCACACCCCACTGGGGGCCAGGACAGTGGTAACCCATGCTCACCCATGTCACTCTGCCACAGGGAGATGGAGTGATGTGCAGCCGCAAAGCCCTCCTGCAGGCAGTGCCACCCATTTCACCAACAATCACAGCAGCAGCACAGCCCCAAACCACGCAACCAGTGTGGAAGCATTACGCTGCCCAGCATGTCATGGAGGGAGAGCCCACAGCTGGGCAGTAATGCTGCAGGGCTCCAGAAGATGAAGGCGTGAGAAATGGAGTCTTGGGGTCTCTCCCACTTTTGGTCCCAGTAGCTTGCTGCAGACTCGAAGTGTACCTCCAGTAACTTCTCTCACAGGCAAAAACAGTGGGGTTTTCAGGGATTTTCGAGCCACTTCCCTCTTCCTACGCCCACATTCCTCCTCAGACCCACCAGCAACCACACTGACCATTCATCTACCACCATGTACCTATCACCATCGCTGCTCCCAGCTGACTCCCCAGCTCCTCAAACAGCCCTGGTGGATGAGCAAGCCCCTGTATCACACCTGCCTCTGTGGTCACAGCCATCTGCAGCCCTTCTTACCTCCCGTGGAGGGGCTGGGGGGGACACAGCACTCCCTGAAGAAGTAGCAAGCCTCTATGGCACTGAGGGTTCACAGCACACTGTTCACTCACAAGGGGCACAGCAGTGTCCCCTCTTTCCACTCCCCCCAGGCCAAGTTTATTCTTCCAGACACCCTGTTCAGAGAGGAGGTGAAATCCCAGGCGCAGGCAGTGCTCATGGAGCAGCCCCTCACCTCACTGCCCCATTAAGACGATCCTGCCAACCCTCCCCAGGAGCCTCTCCAGCCACTTGGACAAGCAGCAGAAGGGGTCTTAGATTTAGGTCCTCCACTGGTAAGTTGGGACTGGCTTGTGACTTGCCACTGGCAAGGAGCAGCCTGGAATGGCCGGGCATGGCCAGGGGTCCCTCCCTGCACAGCAGGAAGCCTGACCTGCTGCTGCTCAGTAGGTGAAAAAGCAAGAGTCGGGTGTTCAGTACCCTAGAAATTACCTGAAAAATGACTGCCTGCGGTTGTACCACGCACTGTCTCATCAGCATGGAGCACCACTGCCATAGCATGGAGGAGAGAAAACACAGACACATGAAATGAGGAATATATAAAGGAGAGATCGAGAAGGACAAACCAAAAGGAGGGGGAAGGCGGGGTTTCATCTGCTCCCCCTACCCCATCCTGCTCGGCTCAGGCAGACAGGACCTGGGTGCCTGGCAGGGAGCTGGGGCTTGGCCGTCCAGCAGGCATGGCATCTAGTGGGGAGCAACTGGGGTGGTGAGTACAGTGGTGGGCCCTGTGCACCCATGGGCAGCAGCATACCTCCCCTCACAGGGTCCTTCCCTGCCAGCCTTCGCTGCAGAGTGCAAAGAGGAAGGTTTCTGCTCTGGGTGAAGTTTCACATCCATCTCCACTGCAAAAGCCTTATTTCTAAATATTACTCCCTGGGGTGGGGAAGGTGATGGGCAGATGGAGGGAAATGGGGTGCAGCAGTGTTTCAGTACCATTTTCAAACAATTAACATAATGTGCGAGGAGGCAGGGTCTGCTGTCTCCTGCTCCACTACATTGAAGTGGCAGACAGCCCATCACAAGCTTCACCCTGTGCTTTTCGTAGCAATGATACCTGGGCGTAATACACTGAAAGGTCAACCCACCCTACGCATACAGCTATTTTCTCTGAGATTTACCTCCGATTTTATCTCAAAGGGCCAGGCAAAGATGGACACATAGTGAGGAACAAGACTGCTCTCTGAAAGAGCCTGGTTCTGGGGTGCCAGCATGGGAAACTCAGGGAGGTCCCATTAGCTGGGATAGGCCCTTTGGTATTGCTGCAACCCAGGAAGCATGAGACAAATGCATTCCCCTCCAGGCCCATTCCTTTTGTGGGGCACAGACCTTGCACCCCTCTCAAGAGACTGCACCAAGCAAAGAAAGAAAAGAGGTTCCTGCTGTGCACGGCAAGCAGCCATCAAAAGGAGCCAGCTGGCAGCCACTGGGACCCTCACGTGTTGCTTCTTGCATCTGCTCAGTTTTCCAAATCACACCTGCAGAACGCTGGGCAGACTTGAAGAGACACCTCTTGTTCCCTCCTGCTGCTGGCAAGGCTGCCCTTGGGCCCACGGCGCTGCCTGGGATGCAGCAGCAGCAGCAGCACAAGGGCTCAGACTACCAGAGCAATGTGCCAGCTTGGGGCTTCGGGACTTGAGCCTGCCTCTGCTCTGACCACATGTGCTGTTTTCCCTCCCAGTAGACAGGGTACACAGACTTCCTTCCTGCCAGAAACAATGCTCCTCCTCTTTT